TACCTATTATATTTTTTAGGGTTAATACCACTTTGTCCCCCCAAACTTTGGACGATTATCCACTTTAGTCCCTAAATTTCAAAATGAGACACTTAAGTCCCTAAACTTATAAATACTTCCCATTTAAGGAAAATTGTTAACAAATCCTGAATGCCGTTGGTGGTTGAAGTGTCCCATTTTATAAGGGTTTAGGAATTTAAATGTCCCATTTTATAAATTTAGGGACTTAAGTGGGAGGTATTTATAAGTTTAGGGAGTTAAGTGTCCCATTTCAAAGTTTAGGGACTGAAGTGGATAATTGTCCAAAGTTTGGGGGGACAAAGTGGAATTAACCCTATTTTTTAGCCCTCTAATGTTATACTTAAAATCAATCAATTTACAACATTGCTTGGATCTTCTCTTATGCTTTAGCCAAGTCAAGTGAAAGATGATCAAGACATTGTTTAGTTTGATGTTTCAGCATTACAAAGATTCCATTGATGTGAGCCATGCCTGTTACATGGTTGACACTAGCTGTCGGTTATGTCCAGTTAAATTCTAATGCAACTATCTATAGTGGAAAGACCCCAGGAGAAAGAATTCTATCTAATGTTGCAAGGGAGCTAATCTTCATATACTATAAGGAATTTGGTGAGTTGAGTGTACTGATGGTGTAGGGTAAGTTATTGCCTTACGATTTAAAGCAATGTAAGTAGCTTGGCTGTTTGGAAGTGAAAGTTGAGCTTGATTTTTGGCTGCTGATTCACCTTATTAAAACATTGGCACTATTAGTTTACCCTTTGCATAACCTGTTGATCCATATTATGCAGCTTTTGAGGGAAATCCAAACCTCTATGATACATATTTACAGAGAAGGGAACTTGGTCATGGATGGCATGGCAAATTTGGAGTTGACTCAAGATTTAATTGTTTATTCTTAGAGTCAACTACCACGAAAGATTAGAGGTTTGCTATAGTTGGATAATGTAGCCTTTCCAGTTCTTAGTTCAATTGTTCTGAAGGATTAAGTTATTCATAGGCTCATGTAATGTGAGGTTTGGCTGTATGCCCCAATCACAACTTGTACTATTTCTTAACTAATAAAATTTTGGACTGACATCCAATCTCCACAAGTTTGGCAAAGACAATACATTTCAAATACAAATATAAATGTACATGTATATGTATCAAAGATATTCTACCAAAAATAAAATATATGCTCGCAGTGTATAAACAAATGTATATGAGGTGTATACTTTTTTATATAGTATATACTTATACATACAGATATTTAATTTCAGTAACTTTTGTATTTTCTATGTATTACATATTTTTGTATATATTTATTTTTATCTTATATCTATAAAAAAATCTATAAGTATGTGTACATATGCACACACACACACACACATATATGTGTATAATATTTTGGATTAAAATCTTTATTCAAGCGCATAACTGATATTATAATAGCATGATGATTACTATTTTTCCTCAATTGGTACTACCATAAAGTATACACTCCTGTTTAACATCGAATTACAATAGAATAATAAATTGTAGTTGCAAGACAACAATATAAAAATTTTAGCATAAAGATGATCAACTGACAACTAATTGTTCAACTTTCACTCTCAGAAACCAATTAGTATAATGATGTCTAATTCAATTCATCCTACTTTCACACCAAATATTTGATATCCAAGTCAATAATAGAGATATTGTATAAGAACAACAAATGCAAGCCTTCTCAATTATTTAACATTTTCAGTAAATGAAAGTACATACAACATCTTCATATTATCTTATTATCAACAGTGAATGCATTTGTCAAACATCCACTCCAACCAGACACGATAAAAACTTATCACATAAAGACCACAGGTAACCCTGCACAAAGAGTACGACAAAACCAACAAGCCTATCTTTTAAGGGTCATTGTTGGAGTGAACCTCTACCAGAAGTACATTAGGATATGTAAATAATGCCAAGCAAATGAGAAGGTCAATCATCAAAATTGGGACTAGCAAAATCACCATCTGGGGTAGAGAAAGTGGAGGCACCACTACTGGCATCCACACCAAAGATAAAGTCACAACCACCACTATGGCCATCACTAGAGCGGTGAGGTATCTAGCCATACTATTCAACTATTAAGGAGAACAGAGTTGAAATTCACTTCAAAAGCTATTCTAGCTCTTTAATCAACTCTATAATGTATACTAATGTCGGACCATTTGCAAAATTCGATTAAATTTTGATTGATTTGATATAGAGTAAAAAGAGTAAAGAATGATCTGAATGAACAAGAGAAGGGATGGAAGGTAGGAGAAATGATGCTGTAGATTTAGCCATTAAGTTTAAGGTTTGGTGGATTTTGTAATGTACTCAAGCAAACCAGTCACGTGGCAAACTGAACAAGTAAGGTGCACTGAAGGTGGATCCAATGTATCAAAGAGTTTCTGCATAAATTCTTTAAAGAAAGACCCTAAAAACACCTACTACTCTATGCATTACTATAAACTAGTTTCAAGTTTATTTTCGTCCCACTTAGCAATAGGTTCTGTACTTATTTAATTTTCTATTTTTGCTCCTATTCTTTATTTTTTATTTAAATCTTATCCAGTCTTTTAAAGGATCAAAAGATTGAGAAAAGCCAATTTTTTATTCTTGCTCCTATCCATTGCTTTTTATTTAAATCTTCGTCACTAAATTTCCTCCCAATTGACCTATATAAGTAGCCTCCATGAGTCGACATGTAACTAATGCTGAGTATATAAATTGTCCCTTACATTTTTTTATCTACCATTCATTTCCTTCTTGGTTTCTTTGTTATAATATTCACTATGTTCTTTCTATTGTATGTGGTCAGGACCAACTTCCCAAAACACTCTAAGTTCACTAATAAGCCTCTTCGTTTTAATTAATTTTCAATATTTCACAACTCTTTGCTTTATGGGATTTAAACACAACTTTCTTTCCCTTTTTTTAACAAAAATATTTCTCTCACATTTAATGCTTCCATTTTAAGTTTAGTTTCACTTCACTGCTCTTTCTCTTTCTAGTAACTTATCCTTCATCCATTCTATTGCAATTTTCATAAATTTCTATTACGTTCATCCATTAATGCTTTCCTTGTACATGAGCATTTATTTTCACCCTTTAATATTTTAGGTCATGCAAAATTCATATTGGTTGCTATAAATTATTTTCTTTTCTTCCTTACTTCTATTTTTCTCCTTCTTTCTCACATTTATGGTTATGCATTTCATCTTAAACTTATTCTTGGATGTAAAAGCCCCAATTATATAAATATTGTATATTATTTTTTTTAGACCTCTATTGTTATACTTAAAATCAATCAATTTATAGAATTTCTTGGATCTTCACTTATGCTTTAGCCAAGTCAAGTGAAAGATGATCAAGACATTGATTTAGTTTGGTGCTTCAGCATTACAAAGGTTCCATTGACGAGAGCCATGCTTGTTACATTGTTGACACCAGCTGTGGGTTGTGTCAAGTTAAATTCTGATGCAACTATCTATAGTAGAAAGGCTTTAGGAGATGGAGTTCTATGTAGTGCTGCAGATGAGCTAATTTTCATATACTATAAACAATTTGGTGAGTTGAGTGTACTAATGGCACAGGGTAAGTCATTACTTTACGATTTAAAGCTATGTACGCAGCTTGGCTATTTGGAAATGAAAGTTGAAGTTGATTCTTGACTGCTGGTTCACCTTATCAAAATGTTGGCACCATCAATTTGGCCTTTGCGTAACCTGTAGATGCAAATTACGCATCTATTAAGGGAAATCCAAGCCTCTTTGATACATATTTACAAAGAATGGAACTTGGATTCGGATGGCATGGCAAATTTGGAGTTGACTCGAGATTTAATTTTTTATTCTTAGAGTCAACTACAATGAAAGATTAGAGGTCTATTACAATTGGATAATGTAGGCTTTCCAACTCTTAGTTTAATTGTGTAGAAGTATTAAGTTGTTCAAAGGTTTATGTAATGTGAGGTTTGGCTTTGTGTCCCACTCACATCTTGTTCTATTTCTTAACTAATACTTCCTCTGCCCCATTGAAAGTGTAATGTTTTCCTTTTTGGTTTGTCCCAAAATTAATGTCATTTACCATAATTGGCAATGAAAACTTTCCCCCATTTCCATCTCATGCCCGTAAATATACTAGATTCTTTTAAGCTTTTGATGAGTCCCATAAAACTACAAGAGTTGCACTGATACGCATGAGTCTCATAGCAAGTGCAAACAATGGTCGTGCAAGGTATTTTCCCAAAAAAGGCTAGAGACATTCTTGAAACATGATTCCCACACATCTTGTCACCCCTCCATTATCCTTCTGCCGCTCAATGGAGTAATGCATAGAAAGGGCGTTGCTAGAACTTAAACCAAAATCATTTAAAATCTTGGCACTGTTGAAAATAAGCTCAAGACTTGAAGTGCGACAATTATTTCGGGACGCAGGGAGTAAAATTTTGGACTGACATCTAAACTCCACAAGTTTTCCAAAAAAAAAAGATACATTTCAAATATAAACATAAATGTATATGTATATATATCAAAGATATTCTGCCAAAAATAAAATATATGCATGCAGTGTATAAACAATTGTATATTATGTGTGTACTTTTTTATATAATATATACTCATACACATACATATATTTTTTTTCATTTGAACTCGTAATTTTATTGAATCAAAAGGAGGGGTGTTACACAACGGAATCACCACTTAAGGATCTAAATCTGCGAAAGGAGGAAAAAGCAAGTTTGTCCAAACGATATGCCCCCTGGCTAAAAATGGCAAACCCGCAAAGGTTTCATAGACACAAATCCTTTGTTCAGGATTGGCTCAACCCACATTAGACAGCACATCCGCCACTGTGTTAGCTTCCCTGTAGTAGTGTACGACTTGAACCCCTCCACGAGTTAGCTGCAAAATCTTCTCCACCTCCCCATCAATGGACCATGGACATCGGGACTTTTGCCAAAGAATTCAGACTAACATCATCGAATTTGATTCAACAACCAGATTATCCAAGCAGCCTCGTTGTACACATAATTGCAGTCCAAGCAGCAACGCCTTAGCCTCCGCCTGCAAACTGGTACACTGCCCCAAGTACACAGAGAACGCAAAAAGCAGCCTTCCCTCAGTGCTCCGAAGAATCCCACCTCCACCACTCACTCCAGGGTTATCTTTCAAGCACCCATCTATATTCAACTTAACAAACCGAGACGGAAGAGAGTGCCAACGGGGTCTGCTTCACTCTGAAGACATCAGGACGATGCTCTACCCTTTGAAGAATGTAGGTCAATCCCACACCTGCTGTAACTCCAAGAACACCAGGCCATAGGCATCCTTTAGATCCTTAAAAATATCCCGACATACCGTAGCCGGGTTCATTCTGGACCCTTGAAATATTGCTTTATTCTTAGCCTTCCAGATATGCCAATAGACAAGACTAGTTAAGATCTGAAACATGAGTTTAAGCCTCTCCGAGTTGATCCGCCTAAGCCAACAACTCCCCAAGATCCCTCTCACGTGACCTGCATTGAGGTGAACCCCACAAACTGAACCAAAAAATTTCCAAACTTCAGCTGCCAGACCCCCCTCTGCGAACAAATGCCCCAGTGACTCAATCTGCTGTATTAAGCAATAGGAACACTTGGAGAGCAATTGGAAGTCATACGATGCAAGAATGTCATCCAAGGAGAGGTGATTCCGCAGTAGCCGAAGAACAAAGAAGGACACCTTCTGGGGAACGTTTGGATACCATGCTTGACGATACAGAAAAGAAGATGGCTTACACTCGCGGAGCTCACTGTATGCCGATGCCAGTGAAAACTGACCCGAAGTTGACGCAGTCCATACCATCCGATCTGGAGAATCCCCGGGTGGGCTACCCATCGCCAGGACTTGCTGTACCATGTCGGCTGGTAGAAACTCCGCAAGCCTCCCTGGGATCCACACCCCATTCTCCATAACATGCGAAAATGAGACACCCTCCTAGACCTGCACGCGTAGATGGAAGGCCCCGTGCCCCATTCAATTATCATACCAGAAGTTGCATCGACTCGCAGAAAGTTTCCACCCAATCAGCAGCTCCGCCAAACTCCTAATGTCCAGCATCCATCTCCATATGGCTGATCCTAATGGAGAAATGGAAACTTGACAAGGATGAAACCCCTGACAATATTTAGCATGCATGATTCTTGCCCACAAGAAAAGTCCACACCTGAAATTCCTCCAGAGCTTGCAGGAGAAGACCCTATAAGTGTCACTAATCAACCGAAACCCCGCCCTATCCTCATCAGTGGGATAACACAAGTCCTTCCACCAGAGCCAATGGAATTTGTTGGATTTCCGGCTTGACCCCCAAAGGAAGTTCGCACAGACTCTCTCAACCAACTTGAAAACTCCTTTTGGCATCATGCCCAACCCCAAAAGGTGAATCGGGATGCTGGATAAAACATGTTTAATAAAGACAATTTTTCCCCCAAATAACAAAAGCCGTGACTTTCAAGACAGTACCTTGTCAATCACCTTCTGACACAGGTCAGAGTTGTAACTCACCTTTGTGCGGCTAACAAACAGTGGAGCTCCAAGATAATGAACCGGGAACTCTTTCTTCTGGAATCTGGTGATCCGCTCAATGACCCCTTGGCGAGCAATGGAGAATCGATGGTGAACTAAGTATCCAGTTTTCTGTACGTTAACCAACTGTTCCGAATCATGTTGGTACCACTCTAGTATCTGCATGACTCTCTTCAGAGAGGCCGAACCCCCATTAGTAAAAATGATAACATCGTCTGCAAACGCCAAATGAGTGATAGGAGAGCAGTGTCTAGGGACCTTAAACGCCGCGAAACTAGATTCATCGACCAGAGAATTCAAGCCACGAGAAAGGACGTCCGCACCAATAATGAATAATGCCGGCGATAACGAATCCCCCTGACGTAGACCCCTAGAGGATTTAAAGAAACCATAGGGTATGCCATTAATAATCACGGAGAACCAAACGTTGGAAATCAACCTCCACACCATGTCAATGAACCTCTCGTTGAAGCCAAAGCTTCGCAACACGGCAATGAGAAATCCCCAAAAGACCTTATCGTATGCCTTAGCCATATCTAACTTAAGCGCTAGGTTGCCATCCATGCACTTCTTTCCCATTTCGAACATTAGCTCCTGGCCAAGCAAATAGTTATCTGAAATAGACCGACCTTGGACAAAATCACTTTGCTGCGGAGAGATAATACAAGGCAAGACACCCGAGAGCCGACCCACCAAAATTAGAGAAAGCATTTTATTAAGAAAGTTACATACACTAATAGGCCGAAACTGCGTGTAAAGTCATTAGGGTTCGTAGTCTTAAGTAGAAGAACAATAGACATCGCCGTGACGAAACGAGGAAACTCCGCACCACAGAAGAAACTCAGGACCGCCCTGTAGATATCTTGAGCCACTACCTCCCAGGCAGCCACAAAGAAATGGCCCGTGAAACCATCAGACCCAATTGCACTATCACCATCCATCTCAAAGATCACCTTTCGCACCTCTTCGAAAAAAGGGACCTCTTCCAATCCAGTATTATCAATATCAGAACTCAAATTAGGAATAACATGGAGCAATTGATAATCGGCTATAGAATCGACCGTGAATAAGTTGCTAAAGTACCCGACAGCTTCCTTTCCTATCTCTGCCTTCTCCATCACTCACTCCCCCCGAGAATCCCGAATCCTGTGAATAAAAGCTTGGAACCGCCGCTGCTTGATTACCGAATGAAAATATCTCAAATTATGATCACCTTGCTGGAGCCACTTGATCTAGCCTTTTGTTTCCAAAAAAGTTATCAATTGCTAACTGCCTATTTAAGTGGCCTTGAGCCCGTTGTAGCTCAGTATGGGCCTCGACGGATGGGTCAGATTGGACCCTGAGTTCAGCCGCAGCCACCACAGCTTCCCTCTCCTTAACATTCTCAAATACATCCCCAAATGTCTCCTTATTCCATAGATGGAGTGCATGAGAGACACTTTTTAATTTTGTCCACACCACATAAAACGGTGACCCGGTCACCTCTCTTTGCCATGCCAACCTGACCACATTAAGAAAATTCCTCTTGGAAGGCCAGATGTTCAAGAAACAAAATGAGTGACTCTTCATGTTGGCCCTAGGAGTGAAGGATATCAGTAGCGGGGCATGATCTGACGGTGCTCGAACTAAATGTGAGACCGAGACTGACAAAGAAAAGTCCTAACAGGCCTGATTAATCAACATTCTATCCAGACGTTTCCAAATTCGTGCTCGCCCGAACCTATTATTACGGTGCTCATCCTAGTGTAACATACATATATTTAATTTCACTAACTTTATATTTATATTTTCTATATATATTTATTTTTATCTTATATCTATAAAAAAATCTGTGTATGTGTACATATGCACACACGAACACACACACACACACATATATGCGTATAATATTTTAGGTTAAAATCTTTATTCAAGCAAATAATAGATATTATAACAGCATGACGATTACTATCTTTTGACATGTACTATCACAAAGTATACACTCTTATCTAACACCGAATTACAATAGAATGATAAATTGTAGTTGCAAGACAACAATATGAAAATTTCATCTTGAAGACGATCAACTCACAATTAATTGTTCCACTTTTACTTAAACACACCAATTAGTATAATGATATCTAATTCTATTCTTCCTACTTTCACACCAAATATATGATATTCTATTCACCCCACTTCCACACCAAATATATGATATCCAAATCATTAATAGAGATATCATATAAGAACAACGAATGCATGCCTTCTCAATTATTGAACATTTGTTAGTAAATGAAAACACATACAACATCTTCATATTATCTTATTAGTGAACGCATATGTCAAATATCCACTCCAACCAAACACGATAAAAACTTATTACATAAAGACCAGGGTAACCCTACACGAAGAGTAGGGTAAAACCAACAAGCATATCTTTTAAGGGTCATTGTTACAGTTAACCTCTACATAAGATACATTAGAATATGTAAATAATGCCAAGTAAATAAGAAGGCCAATCATCAAAATTAGGACTAGCAAAATCACCATCTAGGATGGAGAAAACGGAGGCACAACCACTGGAATAAACACCAAAGATAAAGTTATAACCACCACTATGGCCATCACTAGAGCGGTGAGGTTTCTTGCCATACTATTGAACTATCAGGAAGAATAGAGTTGAAATTCACTATAAAAGCTATTCTAGCTCTTTAATCAACTCTATAATATATACTGATGTCAGTCCCTTTACAAAATTTGATTGAATTTTGATCGATTTGATGTAGAGTAAAAAGAGTAGAGAATGATCTAAATGAATAAGGGAAGGGATGGAAGGTAGCAGAACAGATGTTGTAGATTTAGGTGTTAAGTTTTAGGTTTGGTGGGTTTTGTACTATAGTCAAGCAGGCACCTCACGTGGTAAACTGAACAAGTAAGGATAGTGTACTTTAGGCGTGAATCCAATATACCAAAGGGTTTTTGCATAAATTCTTTAAAGAAAGAAACAAGAAACACCTACTACTTTATGCATTACTATAAATAGCTTTCAAATTTATTTTTGTCCCACTTGGCAATAGGTTTGTGTGCTTATTTAATTTTCTATTTTTGCTCCTATTTTTATTTTTTATTTAAATCTCATTCGGTCTTTTAAAGGGTCAAAAGACCGAGAAAATCAATTTTTATTCTTCCTCCTATTCATTGTTTTTTATTTAAATCTTAGTCACTAAATTTCCTCCCAATTGATCTATGTAAGTAGCCTCCATGATTGGACCTATATCCAATGCTGAGTGTACATATTGTCCCTTATATTTTTTTCTACCATTCATTTCCTTCTTGGTTTTTATGTTATAATAATTACTATATTCTTTCTATTAATTGTGGTTAGGACCAACTTCCCAAAACACTTTTGGTTCACTACTAAGTCTCTTCCTTTTAATTAATTTCTAATATTTCACAACTCTTTATTTTATGCGGATTTAGACACAACTTTCTCTCCCGTTCCTTCACAAAAATCTTTCTCTCATTTTTAATGCTTCCATTTTAAGTTTAGTTTCACTTCACTGCTCTTCCTCTTTCTAGTAATTTACCCTTCGTAACATTCTATTATAATTTTCATAAACTTCTTTTATGTTCATCCATTAATATTTTTCTTGTACTTAAGCATTTATTCTGACACTTTAATATTTTAGATCATGTAAATTTCATATTGGTTGCTGTAAATTATTTTCATTTCTTCACAACTTCTATTTTTCTCCTTCTTTCTCGCATTTATGACTTTGCATTTAATATTAAACTTATTCTTGGATGTAAAAGCCCCAGTTATATAAATGCTGCTTATTATTATTTTTTAGCCCTTTATTATTATACTTAAAATCAATCAATTTACAGCATTTCTTGGATATGCTCTTATGCTTTAGCTAAGTCAAGTGAAAAATGATCAAAACATTGACTTAGTTTGGTGTTTCAGCATTCCTAAGGTTTCATTCATGAGAGCCATGCCTGTTACATGGTTAACACTAGCTATGGGTTGAGTCAAGTTAAATTTTGATGCAACTGTCTGTAGTGGAAAGGCTTTAGGAAAAGGAGTTCTATGTAATGTTGCGGGAGGACTAATCTTCACATACTGTATTTACTTTCTATTGTACTACTATGCCTGCTAATAAGTATGGTTGCATTAATAAAGCATAAGCTTGCATCTTAATATGAATTTTTTTTACATTTATGAAAATTAAACTTAATACAAAGGATATATACCATAGGAAATGACAATTAACTCTTAGAACATCCCCAGCAAATTTTTTTTAAAAAAAAAATAGTTCTTTTACAATATAGTACTTGTAGCAATTTTGTATACGCATGTTGACATATTGGTGGTTGTACCTTAAACACATTAAACTTTAACAAAGTAT